TTTATTTTTTTTTAGTGAAGGTTGTTTATTGCATGATATCTCTTCTTATATAAAGAGAGCAAATATTGACTAAGAAATTTTTTTGATTTCTTAGATGTTGCTCTTTCTTTATGTTCATAAGATATAGTCTCAATCATGACAGTGTTTATCCTTAGTTTTTTACATTGATGTTGTTGTTAGCTGAAATAAAAAGGAACGAAGTTACCCGAAAAATGTAGAATCCTTGAGTGGTGAATGATTCTTGGGATGAGTCGCGGACTAGGTCGCTCTCTTTAAGACGTTTCGCGGCTCTGCCCAAAGTGTGCAAGCAGTTCACAAACACCACGTCGTCCCCAAGATAAAACAGCCCATAACCTTCCTTCTGATAAAGTTCTTCCTTGCACAGTGGAAGAACCTTCGAACTTACACCTTTTCGATATGTTGCTTTTTAAATCAATATATTAAAAAAAATTCTTCATCTACTTTCTGCTTTTCCATCGCCTTTCATACATCACTATAATATATATATATATATATATATATATATATATATATATATATATATATTATAAATAAAGAAACGTTGAGGGAGTAATTGGGTTTCAAAACCGTAGTAAATCAAAACGGCAAAACGGACAAAACTGTTTGAATATGCTTAATAACATGATCATCTTCTCTATATAGAAAAGGAATTCCACGTTTTATACTTAAGAGGAGATAACTCCTTATCTAATTGATAAGACCAAAATAAATTGGCTGTTTTAAATATATTTAAATATTTAAATAAAAACATATTTGTTCCAACAATCCCCCACTTGTTTTTATTTAAAAAACTATATATCAAGCAACATATCATAAAGCTATGCATAAGTAAAGGTGTTTCTCAACTTGAACCTGTACATAGTGTTAGTGATCCAGATTATACTAGAGTAACTTATAGTTTTGAACTCTATCTCTGACAACACCACACACATAACTTTATTAAGGTGAAGTTCAAAAAGCCAGCACATTACGGCCATGTGCTTGTATCCCAGTATAGTGAACGCTCTAGAAACTTGCCCAAGATTTCATAGGAAGCGGCCTCACTTCCACATTCACATAGGTAAGACTATCAAGGATATTTCTGTAGCTCGATATCCCACTCAACATAGAGTATAGACCTTATTAAGAGAAAAAAAAATTCTCAACCTAAAAACGCTTCAGGATGTCATGCTTCTTAGGGATGGACATGGAATAATATTCCAAATTAAAATTAGCAAGACTTCACTCATATCACTTGTGACTTGTTATTACCCTTTGAACCTATTTCTTGGGATCTCCAGTCTATAGGTTGGGTTGCTATCACAAATGACTCAATTTTATACGGGCTTTAGTCCCATCCCTTTCGAGGTTTTCCAAACATTTTCTCATGTTAATCCTTTCGTCAAAGGATCAACCAAATTTTCTTCAGACCGTACATGACTGGAATCGTTTTCTCCCATAAAGGGGTATCTGAAAGTAGGTTTCTCAACCATTCTGCTTCTTCTCCCATAAAGGGGTATCTGACAGTAGGTTTCTCAACCATCCTGCTTCTTCTCCCATAAAGGGGTATCTAAACCATCATGCTTCTTCTCCCATAAAAGGGGTATCTGACAGTAGGTTCATAAATTTTAGAATAATTATAACCCCCACTATTTCGAAGATTAAAAGGAAATTTATTCTCATAAAAATCAGCATCAAGATTTTTACACACAAATGGAAATCAATTGAAAATTAAGCTAATAGGTATCTAAAAAAAACTAATCTTTATAATCAATTCCAAGAATCAAATAAAGAATCAGAAAGAAAAACCTTGATCTTGAAGAGGGTATTGGGTACATCTATCCACTGAGGGTGGATAACAAAAACACATAAAAGCACTTTCCCCAAACCAAAAGAAATAGCCCTCAACCAGAAATCAGAGCTAGAACCAAGAGAATAACATTTCAAGATAAAAGAATGAATAAAAACTTGCACCAAAAAATATAAAGAGGAAAGAGGAGAGAAAATAAAAATCTGATATTTATAACTTATTCCTTAACCATCCAAAAGTCATAATTGACCTGAGCATCACATCAAGTGACTCAATTATGACATTTTATCAATATTCAATTTAAACATTCCATTAGTAGCACATCCCCATGAATAAATATGATATGCCAGAAACAATTCGGTTAGTAGAAGGCATGATTTACAGATCAATTTCAAGTAAAGCTCAGATCAATTAGGTTACCACAAATATCTGTTCATTCTAGAACCGAAAACAAATCGCCATTTTTCATGTTTATTTTATTTATTTATTTATTTTTATTTTTTTTTGAATTGTAAACATGATAATTTTGACATATGATTACATCGAAGAATAAGCTTACAATGGTACACAAAACAGATTTAAACAAATCACAGCAGCCACCTAGTCATCTCCATCAAAAGACTACTGATAATATCAACACACATTGCAAAAAGATCACAAATAGATTCATTCACCAAGTCAATTCACTCGTCCTACAGCGAATGCACCTAGGCAGCTCAAAAAGCATTCACAGTTGACATACTAGTAACTTGATATTAGATTATATAATCACAATGATTTGCCACATATCTAAAACAAAGTTCTTAAAGAGTAACACTAACAGCAATACAGATATTTTTCAGATTCCATGGCAGATTGATCCGTCTTAAAATTGTTGTTAGCTGAAATAAAAAGGAACGAAGTTACCCGAAAAATGTAGAATCCTTGAGTGGTGAATGATTCTTGGGATGAGTCGCGGACTAGGTCGCTCTCTTTAAGACGTTTCGCGGCTCTGCCCAAAGTGTGCAAGCAGTTCACAAACACCACGTCGTCCCCAGGATAAAACAGCCCAGAACCTTCCTTCTGATAAAGTTCTTCCTTGCACAGTGGAAGAACCTTCGAACTTACACCTTTTCGATATGTTGCTTTTTAAATCAATATATTAAAAAAAATTCTTCATCTACTTTCTGCTTTTCCATCGCCTTTCATACATCACTATAATATATATATATATATATATATATATATATATATATTATAAATAAAGAAACGTTGAGGGAGTAATTGGGTTTCAAAACCGTAGTAAATCAAAACGGCAAAACGGACAAAACTGTTTGAATATGCTTAATAACATGATCATCTTCTCTATATAGAAAAGGAATTCCACGTTTTATACTTAAGAGGAGATAACTCCTTATCTAATTGATAAGACCAAAATAAATTGGCTGTTTTAAATATATTTAAATATTTAAATAAAAACATATTTGTTCCAACAGATGTTGTATGTAGATAGTTCCTACTTATCTATGCACAATGCTTACAACACATTTAGTCCAATACTTTGATACTTATATACAATACTTATAATTCATTTAACATTCCCGCGGCAACGCGTGGGCTAAAACTACTAATCCTACCTAAAACAGGACTCCAAGAATATTTACAATTAAGACTCAAATCAACATAATGTGCATTCCGATTTATAGGTTTATCCTCCTACATAATGTTTGTTTGTTTTTTTTTTTTTCTATCCTATTGCTTTTGGTGCTTTGCAACTTGTTTTGCATGTTTAGACCTTCTAGGTTTTTCTTTAGGGGAATTTAGGCTTAACGACCCTCCTTTTTCTTGTATTTTTATTTGTTTTCTTAAGAAGACTCAAGTTTATGCCCCTGTTTTTTCTTGTATTTTTTTACATTTCTTCTTGTAGTATGATATGTGAGGTCTATGTCCTTGTGATTAAGTGTAACTTCTTTTTTCTGATTCTATAAAAATTTCCTCGTACCGTCTAGATTTCTCTAAAAAAATAAGAAGAAGAAGGCGAGTTTGCAACGATTTGCTACCCATGTGTACTTTCCACTTGAATTTGTATAGAAAAGTTAAAAGGAAATGAAAATAATTAAAAGAAGGATTAAGTGACTAAAACGCCCTAATCTTTTAGTGCCATTCTAAATTGGTCTCAACCTTTTTAAACATTCCAAATAAGTACCCAACTTATTAAAAATGTCACATTTGTTAAACCCTAGTTAATTTTTCAAACTTATATTATGTTCAAAATCCACCAATTGGGTATATCATGGTCAACATTGATATTAGTCGCCCCAAAATTTGAATTTCAAACATAGATTATGTAAATATGGAATCCAATGAACAAAAGAATATTAAATTGAATCGAAAATGGACTCAAATTGAAATTATATTAGGAGGACAATTTTCTAACAAAGAAGAGAGTTCAGAATTTAGATAAAGTTTCAAGGAGCTTGTTTCTGCTCATTTGATTTCCTCATACGCCGATTCTCGGCTCGTAAAGCTTTCAGTTCTTCTTTGCGGGCAGTTAAGATGGTAGTGGCTGCATCATGATAGTTCATACCATTTTAGCAACCTCCACGACCTTCTTCTTGATGCGGTTAGAGTTGTAGGGTGGAGTTAGTGGTTTTGTGTTAGGTTTGGAGGTGATGGCATGATGGGTCTGGTGGTGGCCATTCCTTGGTGGATGATATGCTTTCATGACCTTCTATTGATTTTGGAGACAAAGTAACTCCTAGGTAATTTAACATAGTTTCAACTAGGGCTTAACCGATGTGACATTTTCAGTAGGTTGGGTACTTGTTTGGAATGTTTAAAAATGTTGAAATCGATTTGGAATGACACTAACAAGAATGGGGCCCACTGAAATAAAGTAAAAAAAAAAAACAGTAATTATGATGAAAAGTCTGCAAATTTTTTCACTTTCCTCTTCCAACATGGTTACTGATGCCCGCCAAAACTACCTCATGAATGTCCGCAGTCTTGTCAAATTTATGGCCGGAATTCACATCACTTACTGCCAAAACTGAGTTGAGGTTTCGATGTGATTAAATGGAATGAAGAATGGCTTCAAGTGAGTTAACAACGTTTAAGAGTGGAGTTAGTAATGGTCAAGTGTCAAACTATAGGAGAGGCCATAAATAGGTCAAACATTGTTTTCCTGCAAAAGATTGAACTCAGGGTTGGGAGTCTTTCATTAACTCCAAGTCACCGTTTGGGTGCAATTTCAAAATTCTCATCAAATTGATGAAATGAAATGATAGAACATTATGTCTTAGTGGATGTTATCATGGATAGCAAAGACTAAGAAATCAATTATCTGCTAGCAACTATCACACTAAGGAAAAAAAAGTAATTACAATTTATAATGAATAGAAAGAAACAATTAATTACAATTTAAAATTCTCGTCCAATTGATGAAATGAAATGATAGAACATAATGATTTAGTGGATGCTGTCATGGATAGCAAAGACTAAGAAATCAATTACCTGCTAGCATGTATCACACTAAGGGAAAAAAAATATCAATTATCTTCTCTTTTGTGCTTTTGTGCAAATTAAACTTTGGTTTTCTGGTTTTCTAGTTTTCCATTTGTCTATGAACAATGATGGAGCATTCGCATACTATTCGTAATCTAGTTTTGTTGAAATTCTTGCGTGGCTTCATTCTCTTAGTCTTGTGCATGATAAGCACATGCCCAGAATCTGCAACATTTACCAGCTTTACCCTGCTTGGAAACGAATCTGATCGCTTGGCTTTGCTAGACTTCAAGAAAAGAATAACTGAGGATCCTCTCAGTGTCATGAGCTCGTGGAATCATTCCGTCCACTTCTGCAGTTGGGTAGGCATTACATGCCACCGTGCCACCGAAAGAGTCTTGATTCTGGACCTGGAAGATAAACAATTGGTAGGCTCCATTCCACCTTCCATTGGGAATCTTACTTGTCTAATTGAAATAAGCTTGGGAATCAACAAATTTCATGGTGAAATTCCTCAAGAACTGGGTCGTCTACGTACCCTGGAAAGTCTAAACCTGTCTTTCAATTCTTTAGGCGGGAAAATTCCGACTAATATGTCCCACTGTACACAACTAAGATTTTTCGATCTTCTTTCCAATAAGTTTATTGGGTCAATTCCAAGCCAACTCAGTTCATGGTTGAGTTTGACTGTTCTACAACTTGGAGGAAATAATCTCAGTGGAACCATCCCATGTTGGATAGGAAACTTTTCTTCTTTGAGGAGTCTTAGACTTGGCTCCAACAATTTTCAAGGAAGCATACCAAACGAGTTTGCGCATATAACAACCTTGAAGATATTCATAGTTGGGGAGAATAATTTGTCTGGTATGTTCCCTTCTTCAATTTATAATATTTCTTCCATATACAAGTTAAGTGTTGCTAGAAACCAACTACATGGACAGCTACCACCAAATCTCGGCATCTTGTTTCCTAATCTCGTAGCATTTTACTGTGGTAACAACAATTTCACAGGAAATATTCCTGTATCATTGTCAAATGCTTCTAGACTTCAACTGATTGATTTTTCTACAAATGACTTCACGGGAGCAGTCCCTGGAGAAAGTCTCGGAAGCTTGCGAAGCTTAATTAAGCTAAGCTTTGATGAGAATCGACTGGGAAATGGAAAATTTGGTGATATGAGTTTTCTCAATTTCTTGACTAATTGTAGTAGTCTTCAAACACTGGGTCTTGGCTATAATCGTTTTGGGGGAGAAATCCCGAGATCCATAGCCAACCTTTCGACCCAACTAAAAGTTCTTTATCTAGGGGTTAATTTGTTACATGGAAGCCTCCCAAGCGACATTGGAAATCTTATAAACCTTACTGATCTAGAGATGGGTGATAACTATTTGGCAGGTGTTGTCCCTGAAGAAATTGGGAAGCTTAAGAAGATAGGGAAACTGTATTTGTTTGATAACAAATTTTCTGGGCCAATTCCATCTTCCCTGGGTAATATGACTTCATTGATAGAGCTTGGCATGTACAGAAACAATTTTGAGGGAAGTATACCTCCAAGTCTTGGAAACTGCCAAAACCTGTTATTACTTTCACTTTTTAATAACAATCTAACAGGCAGCATACCTAAAAAGCTAATGGAGCTTTCAACCCTTTCAATTGGATTAGACCTGTCTGGAAATTATTTGACTGGTTCATTGCCAAGTGAAGTGGGTGATTTGGTGCATCTCACAGTGCTAGGTGTATCAAACAACAAGTTATCAGGTGAAATCCCCAACACCATCAGCAGTTGTACTAGTTTGGAAGGCCTATACTTGGACGACAACAAATTTGAAGGAACAATTCCTCAGTCTCTTAAAGATTTAAGGGGCTTGGAAAAACTTGATATTTCAAGCAATAACTTATCCGGGCAAATTCCTGAATTCATAGGAAAGCTTAGAGCACTTAAGTATCTCAATCTTTCGTATAATGATTTTGAAGGCGAGTTGCCTAAAGAAGGAATTTTTTCAAATGTCAGTGATGTCTCAATTCTTGGAAATCATAGGCTCTGTGATGGCATCCCACAATTACATCTACCTGCATGCCCCAAAAATAAACACCATTCATCTCGAGGACTACTTTCCCCAGAAGTGGTCATCCCTATATCTTGTTCACTTGCATTCATAATTGCTCTATCATGCTTCTTTGGTGCTCGTTCATTGTTGAAAAAGTCAAGAGATGGACTTGTAACTTCACGTTCTTATAAGGATTGGAATTTAGGTGTTTCCTACTCACAACTTGTTGAATCGACTAACGGTTTCTCTGTGGATAATTTGATTGGTTTGGGAAGTTTTGGTTCTGTTTATAAAGGGGTAATTCCTAGCAATGGAACGGTAGTTGCTGTTAAGGTATTAAACCTTCAACAACAAGGAGCGTCCAAGAGTTTTAATGATGAATGCAAAGCTTTAAGAAGTGTCAGGCACCGAAATCTTGTCAAGATCATAACTGTATGCTCGAGCATTGATAATCATGGTAGACACTTCAAAAGTCTAGTCTTCAAGTTCATGCCAAATGGAAGTCTTCACTCGTGGTTGCATCCTAGAGATGAAGAGCAATCTCCTCCAAGTAAGAGATTGAATTTTATGCAAAGATTGAACATAGCCATTGATGTTGCTTCTGCATTAGATTATCTCCACAACCATTGTGAAACGTCCATTGTTCATTGTGATCTAAAGCCGAGCAATGTACTTCTTGATGAAGACATGGTAGCCTATGTTGGGGACTTTGGTTTAGCAAGGTTCCTCTTGGAAGCATCAAATGATCCTTCCCTCAATCAAACAATGTCATCACAACTAAAGGGTTCTATAGGTTATATTCCTCCAGGTATGAGATTCCATCATTCTAATTTCTTTTTTTGGTTCTTATTAACTTATTACTAAAAACCAACTAATTAAATATTAAAGATGTATTGATTTTTTTCCTGGAAACAACATTAACCTGAAATAAGATATCAATTTTAATAGTCAATTGCATGTGACATCTTATTGTCTATATGTATGTCACGACAGAGTACGGCATGGGAGGCCAAGTTTCCATACTAGGAGATGTTTACAGCTACGGGATACTCTTACTAGAAATCTTCACAGGAAAAACACCCACTGATGATATGTTCATCGAAGGTCTAAGCATTTACAAATTCGTAGCCATGGCTTTGCCCGACCATGTCATGGATGTTGTTGACCCTTCATTGCTCCTTGACCTCGAAGCTGATGGTAGTGTTAACGATGACAGATATGAAAGGACTACGTTGCCCAAACGTAACAATCGCGGAGTGGTGAAAGCAAAAAAGGTAAAGGAATGCTTGTTTGTTGTGATGCAAATAGGACTCTCCTGTTGTGCAATATCACCAAGGGAGCGGATGCTTCTGAATATGGTTGTCAGAAAAATGAGTGCAATTAGAGACTCGTACCTCAAAGTTCAAGAAGGCTAAAGAAGGATAAAGATATGCTGCTTGTGGTTTTTCTTTTCTTATTTTTCTCTACTTTTCCTACCATCGCTTTGAACCTTGCCTCTTTTATGTTAGCGGTTGTTTTAAACGAACGAAGTTTTCATTTGTATGACTTGAAGCTTTCAAATTCTTATTTGTGTGGAGCTATTTGTAATTGTCTTGGTTATGTCAATCTTGTTTAGAATCTAATAAACTCTATGCTTAAGCAGTTTAGAACATTTCAGTCTCATATTTCTCCCAGATGGTTGCATGTGCTACACAAGTTTTGTTGGATTTATTTTTTATTTTTTTATTTTTTTTGTTTTTAGCATGTGGGTTATGGTTGTGATGAAGGATGAAAGATTGCTTCAAGGCACGTATAAATATGTTGTCTTTCATATTCTATTCGCTCCTACATACAATGTGCAAAAGGGATATGCGAATAAGCCTTGACGTTACGCCAATTGTATGTCAAAGAGATAGACAAAAATGGCCAAGATTTAGTTTTTAGGCTTTCATTATTCGGTAATCTTTGCTCTTTTCGCTTCTCGTTCTTCCTCTCTAGTTTTCGCATATGTAGAAAATTGCTGCTGTATTTTGATTATTTCCATCTAAAATTCAAATTTCTAGCCGAGTGCGCATTCGATTACCTGTTTTAGGGTTCTTGTTCTGTTCAACTTATTAATCATTTCATCTATTTTCACAGCATGTTTAATTCCCACAATTTTTTTTCTGTGATGGGAATTAGGTAAACATCGGAAGCACCCAGAAGTTGAAAGAGTAATTAGAAATTAAAATTTTGGATTTTTTGGGTTTTTTTAGTATTGGAGTTATGGGGCAATGAACTGCTTTGCATTGATGAATTGGTGTGACAAAAGTAAACCACTTTTATTATTTTTGTGCATAGTTGTAAAAGAGTTTGCAAATATTCGTAGCTGATCGATAAATTGCATGATTTGTGAATATCAACACCCTGCAATTTGGCTTGAAATTGTTAAAAAGTATGCAGAATTGCAAATTGGGTTAGTCTCGAAACTTTTGAATGTGCATTAGCGTTATCAGTTGATGCAGGAGCATCTGAGGGGCACTCGAAAGCTAAGGCGGCTGCCAGCCAGCTAGGCTAGGGTTCTAGTTAATTTGGGGATTCAAGTTTTTATCATTTGGATTCTGTTTCTAGTGTGATTTGGCCCTATTTGATCCGCTGGACAGAAGCTTATTTTACCCTGTTGTTGCAGGAACATGGCGAAGCATCATCCTGACCTAATTATGTGCCGGAATCAACCTGGAATATCTATTGGAAGGTTGTGTGAAAAGTGTGCGGTAAGTGTGTAATTTGTGACTCTTATGTGTGTCCTTGCACACTTGTTCTGGTTTGCGATGAGTGCAACTATGGATCTTTCCAGGGAAGGTGTGTTATTTGTGGAGGGGTTGGAATTTCTGATGCTTATTACTGCAAAGAGTGTACTCAGAAGGAGAAAGATTGAGATGGCTGCCCGAAAATTGTGAATCTGGGAAGTGCCAAAACAGATCTGTTCTATGAACGCAAAAAGTATGGTTTCAAGAAAAGATGATAATTAGCAGGTCAAGTTTCACTTGGCTTCTGGAAATCATTTTGTTTTGTTCTTCATTGAGGCTTAGCCAATATTGACACACCCCGACCAAAGTCAAGACGTGTTAGCCGTCACGTGAGGGTGACGTAACTAAGTGCACAACAGAAGTGATAATAATAGGAAAATGCGAATAAATAAGATACCTAACACTAAACTTTTCAACTAGAGATAATTTAAGTGTGTGAAGGTGACCAAGTATAAGTTACACAAATATCAGAGCATAGGTAAACGAAAGTGCAGTCAAACCAACTAAGTACTAATTATACAAACAAGGAGGAGATCCCTACTTATGTGTGAAGATGTCAGAACCACTGTGAAGTCCTCATGAGCCGCCAAGGATATGAACAGCTACCTAGGACCTGGAGGGGCGCAAAACAGAAGGGTGAGTGGGCAAAAAAACAAAGCATTTGAAAACACATTTCTCTTTTCTGAACATAATAACCCCTCACTGTAAAACCCATATGGTTTCCAGAAATAATACTACATATATATATATGTAAAACCATGCACACAGGCAGTGAAACCCAAAAACATTTCAACTCTAAATCATGTAAGCTAGGTGTAGAATCAATATAAAATCACATGCCAGTCGGAGTCACCTAATGTGACCTATATAACTGGAACTATAGCTCATCAACATAGGCTAGCACACGAGTCGGAGTCACCTATGTGACCTGTATGACAAGATGGGTATAAATATGTACGCTCAAGTGCTACGATCACGTGAAGGCTATGCAATAAATCGCGGGTCACCTACGAGTCGGAATCACATATTGTGGTCTGTACAACAGGCTGGCACCAAACTTGGATCCAAGGTGAGCGTGCGGTGCGGGAGGTAATGATCATGTGAAGGTTGTGCCCTAGCCCCGGCAGAAGCACTAATATCGTGGTGCAGCCATGATAAGCTCTAAATAAATATATGCATACCAATGCAACACAACCCATTCAATCACATAATACTCACCTGAAGCTTACCTAAGCCTCCGCAGTGTCACACAATATAATGCAAAAGAACAGTGCAATACTCAAAACGCAACTCATTTACGACATGGCATTCAAAGCATAAATCAATTAAGAAAAACGTTCTGGAAACCATATTTTATAAACCCTATATATATATATAAAAAGCAAATGCCCACTCACTAATAAGTAGCAGGATCGTAGCCCTCTAGCCTTGCTGATCCACACTCGTCCTTAGGGTACGTCTCACCTATATGCGAAATAACTAATGTAACGTTAAATCGATAGCACATAAACAAAACCTAGGATTAATTCCTCATACATTGCTAAAATGGGGTGTTTGAATATACCAATATGATCTACTCGACAACACGAACACCCCCATATTTTTAGAAATTTTTTTCAACGTCTCACACACAGACACGTGCCTGGCACATTGACATAATCCCTAACGATGTTAGGGAATATTCTGTTAAAATTACCTGACGCCATTTGAATATTCCGTTAAAGTTAACGGAATATGCTCCTTCTTCTCCGGTGACTCGTCGGAATCCGCCGTCGGCCGCCGTCTGTTACGCCGGAAACTAGAAAATCTTTAAAATTCAATATCTCGATTATTTCTCCACCAAAATTCATAACTTTTATATGACTTTGAAGCCCTCAACTAGAAGAACATAACCTTACCTATTAGGGGTCCTAAAATAAATGGAAAGTGGTCGGAATGAAGCCTGGAAAAATCCGGTCAAACTTGAACTCTTCGAAACCACCTACTCCGACGTCAACTTTGTCCCAAATCCACTCTAAGGTTCCTATGGAGTTGTTTAAGAACCTCCCCGAGCCTTAAAACCTTGGAAAAAGGCCTTGATCACAACGGAGCAACAAACACCTTACCGGAGTTCGTGAGTTCTTGAGTTCCCGTGATCCATTCAACGGACAAAAGGTATCACTCAACTCATGAGGTCACAAGGAATACGATGGTGGACTTCAACAACTCAATCTGATTTGGTTAAGATTGTAGGTGATGGTCTCTCGGTTGTACGGACGAGAGAAAAATCGAGAAGAGAAGAGAGAGAATGTAAGGTTATATGTGTGTGCGCGTTTGTGATTGGTTAGTAAGGAGAGAGTGAGAGATTCCTTCAGATTGGGCAAGGGAAAGAAATGGGTTTTGTAATTGGTCCTATAACAAATAAAAGCCCAACAATTAATGGGACCCAAGAAAGTAAGAGTTACGGTGATTGGTTGTTACTTTGGCCCGCTTACATTCTTTTAATAATTGTAACTTTTTCGTTAGAAATCCGATTCGGCCCTAACTCGCGTTAATGCGCTCATGACGTCAAGTACGATTTAATTACGATGGCAAGGAAAGAAAATAAAACTACATATGTACATCCACGTCACTAAGCCACCGAGGGCATAATCATCACTTTACACATTCGAGAAGACAATATATAATAATTTGGGACGGGTCGTCACAAATATTCCAACCAGGTATTTTTCTTAGAAAACTTGCTTGTTACTGCTTTTATGTTTGACTGTTGTATTTTCTCATTCGATATGTTTCCAGCTTACTCTCATTTTGTGGCTAATCAAGGAATATATGACTTGAGTATTTCTCACTCGTAATCTTTGTATGTGGCATGCATCTCGGGATGTTTGAACTCCTCAGTGTACTTGGAGCTTTGTTAATCCAATTTCATATGTGATTTACTATTAAGTAGACAAACTGGGCATTTCCTTTTTATCTTTTATTGAAGTTGTGAAATGGATGTATTAATTGGGGACTCCATGCTAAATATTGCTCAGTAGGTCGACGCATACTCTTTAAAATCTTTCAAAATCTCAATTGAATATACCCAGCGTAATGATTTTGGCCAGGGTATTATGTCCTACCCTTTGCTCCCAAGTCGGATCCCTTCCCCCTAGATTAGAGTGGTCAAAAGAAAGGACCCCATTACCATGCGATTCAAGACATACTCTACAAACGAACACCTTTGTTAGATGTTACAGCCATTCAGATTTTGATCAAGCTCTATGGAATGTGAAGTGTCATAGTAGTGTGAATTTACAATAATATTATTCACATCGCTTCTTAAGAACACAAATCATTTGTGTGAACGAGATTATTGAAAAACATATATTTCAATATGTACTTATGTGTCTACATTTATAGTACCTTGGAGTTATATTTCAATGAATCATTCTGACATGTACGAGAAACGGAAGCACATGAATTTACTTATGGGGATGAATAATTAACAAATAGTTTTATTGTTGGTCGTGACACAAGTTCAAACCTCCTTGGATTTTCCACTTCGTGTATATAAAAATTGAGAGACTAATTGAGTTGTTTAGGTGATAAGAAGGGGTAAGATCCTCTCCGGATCCTCGGCTAAGGATCCTTTCTGCTCACAACCGGCGTAGACCTCGTAACCCTCGCCCTCGTGACCAGCACGCCTTTCTTCCTCCTGCCACCACCGACAAGTGGGTAGGGTTCAGATCGGAAAGTGACCAGCAGACGCAATCTAATTAGACAAATAAGTGAACTTTCCCATGCCAAAATCCAAAAGGCCAACATAAATCTCTCATTACAGCATAGAAGACAAAACTTAATATGAGTCTCCAATTGCAAGGAATATCCTCTCTCTCTCTCTCTCTCTCTCTCTCTCTCTCTCTCTAGATTTTCTCCAATGGAAAACAATGGTGATAAGTAATTGAATTGAAACCAGAAAGAAACACATTAGAGACTCACCTGAGAAATCCGAAGAGACGCTTCCTTCTTTCTCCTTTGTGGTGAAGATTTTATGAATAAAAGACACCATTCTGTTTGCCGAAAGATCCTTTTTTTTATCCACAAAATAGAAAAGAAGAAGAATTTGGAAACAAAAATAAGAAAAAGGAACCTTCTTTTTCACGTCTTGATTGCTGACAGTCATTTCCGAAACTGCAACTTTTTCATCAACTGTTATTAACAGACCTTCACAAACCTACATATAACAGATAAATACTGCAATTAGATCAAAACCCTCCAAACCGGATAATTAAATTGCTCCTATTTATTTTAAATCATCAAAAAAAAAGAAGGAAATTTCATGAATTGGACAAAATGAATTATAGATTAAAAACAAAGGACAGCGTGAGAATATTGGTAAAATATTGAGATTGAACAAACGAATACAATTCCCAGAGAATAGGAATCTAGTTACCTACATCCAAAAATAGCATCAAACACAAACACCCAAATGCAATTCAGTTTCAGATGACCGAATAAATAGAACATAAATTACCAGAACTTGGTGAAGGATTACAATGCGACAGTTAAGGTTCCAAGCTCTTTGCTTTCTTGAATCAATCAATTATTTTCAAAACAATCTAAGGTCCACATAAACTTCCATGCTTCTATAATTTAGAGCAAACTTCTTCTTCTTCTTCTTCTTAAGCCTTTTCCCACCATGTGGGGTCAGGTAACTTCGAATTACGAAAATCTATTTTCTTTTTTCAGTTTACATGTGTGTGTGAAAATCCAAATTCCAATTCATACGATCATAACTGCATAAGAGATAACAAAATTGATTTCCCGAATTCATCAAACATTCAGAATTCATAACAAAATTGTGGGAAACAACTTCAACCTCCACTACACCATTCAAATTCCTAGTCTTTAAATTAAAAACCATAAGATTCCAACTTTCGTCCAAAAAAGAAACGTAAAAACACATTGTAAAAGAAAAAGCATACATTATCGAACCCAGCAATGTTCTTGTTCTCCGCAAAGAACTCCGCCGGCGATTCTGCAGAAAAATTGAAAGCATGGCTAATGAATATTCAAACTAAAACATGCGTACAGAAAACTCTGTTCGAGAACGCTATCTTTGGGCTTTCTGGGCATCTTCGATTGGCGTTTCTTAGGCTCCGTCTGGCTCTTGCTGCTCCCTCGAGCTTCCATTTCAAATTCCCAATCAAATCTTCGACCCCAAAAAAAACTGTCGATCATCTTCAAATAGATCGATCGATTCTAGAGACAGAGAAATGAGGAGTAAGACGACGGAGGCCAGAGAAGGTGTGTACTTGTGCGTCCTCGCACATAAGAGTCACAAATTACACACTTGCCGTCGCACTTTTCACATTTGTGACTCTTATGTGCGTCCTTGCACACTTGTTCTGGTTTGCGATGAGTGCAACTATGGATCTTTCCAGGGAATGTGTGTTATTTGTAGAGGGGTTGGAATTTCTGATGCTTATTACTGCAAAGAGTGTACTCAGCAGGAGAAAGATAGAGATGGCTGCCCAAAAATTGTGAATCTGGGAAGTGCCAAAACAGATCTGTTCTATGAACAGAAAAAGTATGGTTTCAAGGAAAGATGATCATTAGCAGGTCATGTTTCGCTTAGCTTCATGAAATCATTTTGTTTTGTTCATCATTGAGGCTTAGCCAATATTACGATCAGATATTTTTCTTAGGAAACTTGCTTGTTACTGCTTGTATGTTTGACTGTTGTACTTTCTCGTTCGATATGTTTCCAACCTACTCTCATTCTGTGGCTGGTCTAGTTAGGGGACGTTTGTTGCGCCAGACTATCTCGGACTGGACTAACTTCAAGGATTAAGCTGGACTAACTTAGACTAGACTAAGCTGGACTAACTTAGTGAAGCGTTTGGTGCAGTGTTGGACTAAGAAGCTGGATAATAACAAATTCTAATATTATATTATTTAATATATAAATTATTAATATTTTATTATGATCTCGGTGACCGGAGATGATGAGGAGTCTATCGGGAGTGGTTGTTGAGCATGACAAGGACGAGAGAGGATAGTCTTAGCTAGTCCCATGGTTATTGGGAGGTCTCGTTAAGACCTCTTAGTGAAGGGTTTTGTTCATGCTAGTCCCCTTTAGTCTCATTAATGTTAGTCCCAGCATGGAACAAACACAGTATTGGACTAACAGCTAGTCCAGTCCAGTCCAATCCCACTTAGTGAGGGCAAACAAACGCCCCCTTAAGGAATTAATGACTTCCATAATTCTCACTCGTAATCTTTGTATGTGGCATCTATGGATGTTTGAACTCCTCGGTGTTCTTAGAGCTTTGTTAATCCAATTTCATGTGATTTAAGATTCAGTAGATGGACTTGGCATTTCCTTTTTATCTTCTACTGAAATTGTGAAATGGATGTATGAATTGGGAACTCCATCCTAAAGATTGCTCAGCAAGTCGACGCTATACTCTTTAAAATCTTTCAAAATCTCAATTGAGTACACCCTGCTTAATGATTTTGGCTAGGTAGTGTGTCCTACCCTTTGCTCCCGAGTCCGATCCCTTCCCGCGAGATTAAGGTAGTCAAAAGAAAAGACCCATTACTATGCGATTCAAAACTTATGGTCTACAAATGAACACCTTTGTTAGATGATCCAACCATTCAGATTTCGATCAAGCTCTAGGGAATGTGAAGAGTCATATAAGTGTGAATTTACAAAAATATTATTCACATCTCTTCTTAAGAACATAGATCATTTGCGTGAGCGAGATTATTGGAAAACATATATTTCAATATGTATGTATGTGTATAATACGTTTTTAGTACATTAGAGTTGTTAAATGTATATTTCAACGAAACATTCTGACGTATACGAAAAACAAAAGCACACAAATTTACTAACGAGGATAAATAATTAACAAATAGTTTCATTGTTGGTCGCCACACAAGTTCAAACCTCATTGGATTTCCCACTTCATGCATAAAAGAATTGAGACTTGTTGAGTTGTTGAGGTGATAAGAAGGTATAAATTCGTTTTAAAACAATTGAAAGCGTTTTTAGATAAAATGTTTGGTTTTTAGTTAAAATGGTCTCTGAAATTAGCATAACTCCTCACTTTGGTCCATATGATTTATAATCGATAGAAATGGTCCATAAAATTGCTCATCGTCAATCATTATGGTCATTTAGTGAAAAACCTCAATTAAATTGCAGGTATTTTTGTCAAATCAACCCCTCCACTTGAATTGGTGGTTTCTTCAATTTCCCTGATATTTTGCATAGAAAACCAAAATAATAGCCGGTTGACAATCACATGGATTACTTTTATTGATTTTAAATCTCAAATGACCATTTTGGTTAAAAAAAACCATAATGTTTTTAAGTTCTAAAAGTACATGAAGTACTTGTTTAGGGTTTACTTTTTTTTTTTACTAAAAACTGTTTTCAAATATATTTTCACTAAAAACACTTTTAGTTATTTGAAAATCACTTCTAAACGAGTTTTTTTTTATCTTTGTGCCACATAGAAGCCACCACAACCATCATTGGCTGGTCAAAAATGCCAATTGTCCCTTTCCTCCTAATAGATGGTCACTTGCAGCAGTTGGTACACGTCATGAACCAATTTTCTCAATTCAAGCAGCGCAGCAGCTTGTTTGCTGAACATTTATCATGGCAGCCAAATTTTCCCATCACCAAAAGTCAAGGCAAATTTGTCACCTACCCTTCAACTTCACTGCAATCAACAATCGCTTGGAGCTGCCCCCCACTTTATTATTTTCTCCCGTCATCACACACGCTAGTGACTAGTTTACTGACTAGGACTGGGAAACAGATTGAGATCAAGTTCAAGTTAGTCTAACTAGTGATACGATGAAGCAATGTTGATCTTCATTTGTAAGTTCGAGGTTCCGGGTTTGATTCACATTAATAGCGAGAACATATTATTTTGTGTTGAGTTTAATATTTAGGAAGTGGTTGACCCATTGTGTGGCCTAAACCAGACACTTAAATGCAATGTAATGTTGTATCCAAAAAGTTCTTTTAGCCCCCCTCCCTTAGAATAGATTATCCCCTTTAGATGAGTCTTTCATGCAACAGAAATGCTACCTCAAGTAAATTGTATACTATTGAATGGAAGAACAATATGGTTAACCGCTATCCAACTCAATAGTGGTATGTTTACTTACCAAGAACGAGAATGCAAAGTATGAGTATAATTCTCACTCCTGACATCATGGGTTTACTAAAATGCAAGGAATAAAAAGGTAACATAATCCCTTGTTAACTCATCCGAAAAGTAAGTACGCATATCCTAAAGTACAATTCAAAAATGAGTTCCGTCTCCATCGAAATGGTCCAATTCACGCCGAACCAACAAGTGACAACCAAAGCATCCATCCTTCACACTTCTTTTGTACTTGGCCATTTAACAACTTCCCCCCTCTTGCACCAATGCAAACATTGCCTATTTAGAAAGACACCCCTCCCCCGAGGGTTTAACCTCCCCACCACCACCCCCAAAACCCAAAAAGGTTGCATGCTGAGCAGATTTCTTAGAGAACTTTATAGCATTGCACATACTCTAATTTCAATCATTTCTTTCAAATGTATCGCATTCGCATACACGAATCCAATCTTTAGAGACACCCTTTTTTCCTCTCGGTTTCGCCTAATACTCGAATATATACAGGTAGAACTCAAAAATTCAAGGACTAGGATAAGTACTGGGGGGCTGGATTATAGCGCCTTACAATAGGATTCTCAAATTCCATCATCAAGCAAAAATTGAGAAAGTAAAATTATACATCTAGGCTGTTTGATTGGGGTCCTTGGGTGAGTCTCTGCATCTCGTTTTGGTCGTTTAGAGTTTCGATCAGAAGTGGCGGAGCATATTGGGCAGTCCCTTGGTGCTCTTCAGAATCCTGGCAGTATGAAAGAATGATGGTATCGATTGACATCTCCACCACTCCAAAGAAAAGAGTGGCAACCACATAACCAAGACCCCAGCAAACCTGCACAAACATATAAGAGCTGATTAATGACGGAACATATTCTACCCGACCATTGTGCTCCGGTTCTTGTCAATGGAAAATATACTATGGGCAATATAAGGAAAACTTCATTGATGAAAGAGGTATGTTCATCCACTTTCCTGCCGTAGCTGTATTTCATTTCAATCTTTCATCAGATAATGGAAAATCGTCACAAAAACACGCTGTCTTAGATCATAAACATACCAACACGGGAAACAGTGGAGAAGTGATCTTGTTGTGGGCAGATTTGTATTTGTGGGTATCCAACATCAGGAAAGCAAAGAGGGCTGTTGAGAGGCTGACACATAATTTTCCAAGGAATAGGATAACATCTCCAATTACATTCACCCTCCCTATCCGAAGAATGTTATTAAGGATCAAATCTGTTGCGATTGCAGAAGCGTTGCAGAAGCTTTTACCTGTTATGGCAATCTGCAAAGTACAAGCACATTTTTAATAAATCAGTCAGGTGCACAAACTATATAGAACAAAAGGTATAAAAAAATTCAGCAACCGGGTCTGAGACCCAGAATAAATAATGAAATAAGCACAAAAAAAGAGGAAGAACACGACCATATTGTCATGTTTGGCACTCATGCAGTACTGTGGCCTGTGGGTCACAAAAAAGTGAACATACTCCGTGGTTTCATGTGCCTTTTCTCACTCTAATCTTTCAAGCTTCTCATAGTTTTTATTTCATACTTATACCCACTCTGACTACGTGTAGCTAGGTCCCATAGTCATGTTACACAACACACGAGTTTCAAAAGAGGCATATAACTCACACTAGAACCCTGACATTGCATACAGGAAACATGTTTAAGACATGAGAATACTATTGGAGATGCATTATTTAATCTTGAAAAATATTATTTTCAAAATTACTGGTTGAGGCATTTGCAATCTCGTCAAGCCAACAAATAAGCTCCTCTTATGCATTTTCCATACAAGGATGAATGAATATGAACAAACACATGAGCAATTGTGATGGATACTAGTTATGTCAAATTACCATAATGTAGGCATTGCGATTGGCTGATCTGATTGTCCACTCAATACACATCAGGCAAAATCTAGAAGTATGGTACACTGCCCTTCCGAACCAGTTATTGGGTGTGGTTCCACCAACTTTTATTCTGCGACGAATTGACTCAAGCATAAAGCGGATTGATTCCACAAATGACACAATCAGGGAGCCGAGAGCAACCGACCCAAGGTTATAGCGAGCAAGCCTTCTCATGGAGGCA